CCCTAAACCCCTAAACTAAACCCTCAACTTCCTCAAGCCATTAGAAACCTCGACTGTCATTGCCGGCAAGGCCCAGAACGATAAGAACGGATGGGCGGCGTTCCCGTGCGTCAAAGCCCTCACGAGAGATGTCCACCTGTATCAGGCCTGTCCTGGTTTAGCGGTTTAGGGGTTGGGGTTTCTGCGGCTTGTTTGAAGATAACTGTGAAGTTCTGTGTCTATGAGAATGAAGCATGTGATGAAGAACCCTCAAAGCCCATAAGAGCTGTGCCTCATAAGGCTTCAGTGTCATTAGGACTGGAATCTTCTGTGCGAGAACAGTTTCGGATGTATTTTGTTGGAAACCCTAAACCCTAAACCCTAAACCGCCAGAAATCGATTGAGATGCTCTCGTTGCCTGAAGCTTGCTGCACAGCGCCCCTGTGATCAGAAATCGTGCGGAAGCTCCATGCGCCGAGTGCCGCTGCTACCTGGATTCACAGATGGGGGTTTCCGAAAATAGGGGACCCTAATATAGTACCCCAAATAATAGGACCCTTATCTTAGGGGTACTTAGAAATAATTTTTAATCTTTGGCTACTATAAACCCTAAGAAGCAGCTAAAATTATAAGTTTTGCTAGGGGTCTAAGTTCAGTATAGTTATTATAAGGACCCCAAAATAAGGTACCCCTAATTTTCGGAAACTCCCAGATGGGTGATGGGTCCCTTAAGTGTGTGAAGGTTGCTTGGTGGATGAAGTCAAGCGCCAAGGATCTATTCCGATGTGGACACGGGCGCAGGACTGAGCCCTAAAGACTGATCGCCTCATCCCCTCCACATAGCTTCCGGAATCCAGCTGCAGGCTCTGGTCCTTCCCTAAGCGATCTGCTTGCATCGTCTGCTGTTGCTTGTCTCCCCTGTCCCTAAACCCTAAACCCTACAACCAAAAACCTAAGCCTTGAGCCGCAACCCCACAACCCTGCACCGCCGTTTCCAGAGAGGAGACGCAGGGCAGGTGGCGCGGTACCTGACATGCGCGTTGGACAGCGAGGAGCGGCAGCTATTCCAGGGGGCCGGCCTCCAAAGGGTCCTCAATAATTTTAGGACGGTTTGGGAATATTTGGACAGGCACCTCTGCTGTTGGTGAGACAAGTTCATCGAGGTCTTGGTTGCGTGTGCACCGTGAGTGTAGGCTGTTTGTTTTTTTTTCTAGCTTCCCTCCAAATCGGATTCTATTTCTGCTTTGCTGTTAACATGGGCTACCAATCTGCTTGAACCTAGCATGAACTGCCTGAACCTCCATGCGTCTGTCCCACCTACTGCAAGTTTATCTAATAATTAGCCAGTAGTACTCAAAACCGTAATCCCTAAAGCCGCCGAGGACGACGCCGTGGATGCGTACGGCCTCAATGTTTACTCCTGGTGTGACGAGGCTCGAATTTGCGACATGCGTGGAGGAGCCGGATATGTTCATCATGCGAAAAATCACAACTATGTGAATATGAGAAGCTACCAGAAGTGTGTATATCCGTGCATATGCACATATATGTGCATATATATATATATATAAGTATATGTATACTTGTATATACATATATGTATATATGAGATGGGGTCAAAAATATCGTATATGGAGTTTAACGCAGGCTGTTGTCGAAGATGGCAAATGCGAGCCGTGACCTGTAAAACCGACAGGGGACCTAAAGACGACACCCTCAATACAGCAAGGTCCTGGTTTCTTTCAAGAGAGGGTGTCGGGAGTGTTGGTTTAGGGTCTCAGGGTTTAGGGTTTAGGGTTCAGGGTTTAGGGTGTCGGGAGTTTTGGTTTAGGGTTTAGGGTTTAGGGTTTTTTAGTAAGGGTGTCGAGGTTGTCGGGATAGAAAGTTTGGAAATGAGACGACGTCCCTACATTGGAAAGAACGATACCCGAACGATACCTCAAATGTAGCCCTGGCGGCCGAGATGGGTCTGTGGCACTTCATGTACTGTGCCAGTGCTATTCCTTGGACCAAAAACCCGAAAACCCCAAAGCTGAAGACTCCAAAGAGTCCAAACATCTTTAAACTCGTGACATCTTAGAAGCTAAAATATGCCTAAACCAACTCCCCGCATCACAAGAAGCTTCGCATGCTCTCAGAAACCAGTTCTTCATGACTGCACGATGCCACGCCCTTTCGAAATGCCACGCAGCGGAAGCTGAAAGCCCCAAAACCCCGAATACTTCCAAAGGCCCCAAAGACCGCGGCCCAAGGCCACACCCTGGAATGCTGCATGTTCTATACTGCATCTCCCTACCGTAAATCAGGGTATCGTTTGTTCCAGTATGCTTCAAGTTGCAAACAAGGTACAACGATAGGGCACGCGCTGATAAGAAACGAAACTGGCACAAACAACTAATTTTGACGCCGGCTCATAAATGGGTGTATATGTATAGATAATATACACACATCAAATATGTACCAGTTTCTTTGTCGCTGCGGCGCTTCGTATGCGTATGTGTATTCGTATTTATGTATGTGTGTATGTATGTATGTATGTATGTATCCATGTATGTAGGTATGTATGTATGTAAGTATGTAAGTATTGATCTGTGTAAGGTGTGTATGTGTGTGTAATGCAATGTCAGGTGATGTGATGTGATGTGATGTAATGTAATGTAATGTAACGTAATGTGGTGTAAGGTAACGTGGGTAGGGTAGGTATGTATGTATGTAGGTACAATGTACACACGCACTTTTATACTTTCTGCCTCTCGCACACGAGCGTTTCTGGAAACTAGAAATGCAGCAAACTTCAGAGGAAACAGCTGGGGGACATGCGTGCACGCAGTCAGACAGACAGACACACACAAGATTGACAGATAGATAGGCAGACGCAGACATAGACACACACACACACACACACACACACACACACCCACACCCACACCCACACCCACACCCACACCCACACCCACACCCACCCACGCACACACACACACACATACTCACTCTCTCTCTCTCTCTCTGTCTCTCTCTCTCTCTCTCTCTCTCTCTCTCTCTCTCTCACACACACACTTCCACACCCACACCCACACACACACACACGCGCGCTTTCATATGCATACATATATATATATATATATATGTATGCATATGTATATGTATCTGTA